GAGGCCTCAGAAGCAATGCCACACATCTACAATCATCTGATCTTTGATAAACTGAACAAAAACAAGCAATGGGGAAAGGATTCCCTGTTTAATAAATGGTATTGGGAAAACTGGCTAGCCATATGCAGGAAGCTGAAACTGGACCCCTTCCTTACACCTTATACAAACATTAACTCCAGATGGATTAAAGATTTAAGCATAAGAACTAACACCATAAAAACCCTAGAAGAAAACCTAGGTGAAACCATTCAGGACATAGGCACAGGCAAGGACTTCATGACTAAAACACCAAAAGCAATGGCAACAAAAGTCAAAATAGACAAATGGGATCTAATTAAACTTAAGAGCTTCTGAACAGCAAAAGAAACAATCATTAGGGTAAACCGGCAACCAACAGAATGGGAAAAAATTTTTGCAATCTACCCATCAGACAAAGGGCTAATATCCAGAATCTACAAAGAACTGAAGCAGATTTACAAGAAAAAACAAACAAACCCATGCAAAAGTGGGCGAAGGATATGAACAGACAGTTTTCAAAAGAGGACAAATATGCGGCCAACAAACATATGAAAAAATGCTCATCATTATTGGTCATTAGAGAAATGTAAATCAAAACCACATTGAGATACCATCTCACACCAATTAGAATGGCAATCATTAGAGAATCTGGAGACAACAGATGCTGGAGAGCATGTGGAGAAATAGGAACACTTTTACACTGTTGGTGGGAGTGTAAATTAGTTCAACCATTGTGGAAGACAGTGTGGCAATTCCTCAAGGATCTAGAAGTAGAAATTCCACTTAACCCAGCAATCCCATTACTGGGTATATACCCAAAGGATTATAAATTGTTTTGTCATAAAGACACATGCACACGTATGTTTATTGCGGTGCTGTTTATGATAGCAAAGACCTGGAACCAACCCAAATGCCCATGGATGATAAACTGGACAAAAAGATGTGGCACATATACACCATGGAACACTATGCAACCATAAAAAACAATGAGTTTGTGTCCTTTGTAAAGACATGGATGAACCTAGAAACCATCATTCTCAGCAAACTGACACAAGAACAGAAAACCAAACTCTGCATGTTTTCACTCATAGGCAGGTGATGAACAATGAGAACGCTTGGGCACAGGGAAGGGAACAACACTCACAGGGCTAAGTGCGGGGGTGGGGGGGAGGAAAGAGGAGGGACAGCAGTGGAGGCGGGGAGGATGGTGAGGAATAACACCGGGAGAAATACCTGATATAGGCGACGGGGACGGGGGCGGGTTGGAGACAGCAAACCACCATCGCATGTATGTACCTATGCAACAATCCTGCAGGATGCAGGATGTGTACATGTACCCCAGAGCCCATATACAATTAAAAAAAAGAAGAATTTATGGCATCTGAATGTGTGCATGTTCACGGATTAAATATATTATATATATGATTATATTATATATATATTACATAATAGTAGAAAGAACAAAAAGTAAATTTTATTCAAAATTATGCATATTATTCAATTGTATGATCTTTTTTAAAATTCAAAAATGAATTAAAGTTTTAATATCAGGTAAATTACTGAAAAAATATTTTGGGTTAGGTGACATCAAGGGGATGGAGGGACATTTGTCTCCTTGTTATTTAAATAGTTCTTTGAAAACTTATTAGGCTTATTAATTAAACTAGCTGCCTGGGGCTGACTACCTGAGGCCTATGGGGAGGCTGCATTTCAATGGAAAGCCTTCTTCAAGATTCCACTGTGTATTCTGAGACATAAAATGAGTGCCTTGGTAAGCATCTAGTGTCTAGAACTCCAAATGAGGTAAGAAATATTCTATTGAGGCCTAGTATTATGACCTTAGGATATGTAAAGAAATATGTTAATTTGGTTTATATTTTGGGTATCTGTGAAAGAAGAGATTCACCCAGTTCAAAGTGCAACTCGTAGGCAATGGCCTAAGAGTTGTAAATATATACATATGAGGCCAAATGACCAGGACATCCAAGATGAATGCCTGGAGTGTGCCACTTGTGCTGACCCTTGGGTTGTGTTCCTTACCAGGAACATCTTGGTTAAGGAATTAATAGCATCGACTCTTCACTGAGTTTTATCATGTATAATTGTGGCATGTCATTGGTAAAATGTATGGCCTTATATTGCTGTGCATTCAGTTGATCCCAGGGGGCTCCCCAAGGACTCTGAGAAAGGGGTGACTTCTTCTAGTACCCTGGTTTTTGGCAAGGGACTGATGGGAGAGGCCACCACCTTCTACAGATAGAGTATGCCAGAATGCCCATAGTTTGACACCATCCTGTAGCAAAGAGATCTCATAGGCATGGCAAATTCATGGAGTACTACTCCAATGCATTACAAGGCATTACAGTAGCTGGGTGCAAAGGGTCACAGGCCCAAAATATAGTACAAGGCCAGGAAAGGGAGTTACTTGCATCAGAAACCCGTGGGCCACTTATGATCACCAGTAGTGGTCCACAGACTCCAGGAGGCATGAGGTGAGGTTGCAGAAGCCTCTGAGAGCACTAACTGGAGTGCCTATTGATTTCATTTTGGACAGCTTCTACAGCCTTTGGTTGAGGAGGTTCCCCTTTAAGATGGGCAATCCGTAAGTAACATTAGTGAGATTAAAGAAAATTTGCAAAAGAATATGTTGTCTCCAGAACCCAAAAATGACTAAAAGATGTTGGACTTGTATTAAACTGGTGGGTACTGAGAGGGTTAATAACTGTTTTTTGACACTATCAGGTATGGAGCAGCTTTTGGTTTACCAAATAACTTTTAAGAATTTAACAGAAGTAACAGGGTTTTATACTATGTGTGAGATAATGATCCACGCTTTTTGTGTGAGTTCCTTTGTGAGTATTTGTATGTTCTTAATGAATATGTCAAACAAATTGTCCTGGAGAAGGATGTCATCAGTGTAATATGGCTGTGTTCCTGGAGAAAGGTGGATGTCATTAAGATCTTGCCTACAAAGATTATGTGCAGTGGCAAGGCTGCTGAGGTATCCCTCAAGTAGCCTGGTAAAAATATATTGTGTCTCGTGGGAGGTAAAAGCAAACTGTGACTTTTAAGCCATTGGCATTGGCATGAAATTGATTATATTAGCCTAATTTGTAGTAGCAAAATATCTATCAGTTGCTGATTGGATGGAGTCTGAAGTTTCAATACTCAGTTTGTTGGGAATAGGGGCCTGAATTGCATGGGACCATGGCATTAAGATGCTGCACCATTTATTTGTTCCAGGTTTAAGAACAGGCCAAATAAGCCAAATTGGGTTATTAAATGGAGAAGCAGTGGGGATAATCACCCCTGCACTCTATAGCTGTCACATAACAAGTTTTGTTTTGTTTTTTAAAGATTATTTTTATTTTTTTATTTATTTATTTTTGAGACCAAGTCTTGCTCTGTTGCCAGGCTGGAGTGCAGTGGTGCAATCTTGGCTCACTGCAACCTCTGCCTCCCGGGTTCAAGCAATTCTCCTGCCTTAGCCTCCTGAGTAACTGTGATTACAGGCATGTGCCACCATGCCCGGCTACACATAACAAGTTTTAATCCTCAAAGGCCCTGTTTTAAATTACATTGAGCTATGTTAATAAGTATTTTAACTTGGGTTGGAGGCGGAAGACTCATGAGTTCCCATTTTGTCAAGCCAATTTATAAGTGTCAAAGATTTCATCTAATTTCCATTTATTTTTCATTGGGTCAGAGCGTCCATGTCTATTGTGGGATATTTTAGGGCAATGATTGCTGTGACCATGATGGGGAATTTGGGCAAGACAGTAATTCTGATGGTTAAGATGAGGCATATCTCTTTGTCCTCTTTTATATTCCATCACTCCCCTAGTATTATGGGGGATACCATGTTTAAATTGGTAAGATCCCTGGTCGTAACTGTAATCTGAGTCCTACTGCCAGTTGAAGCCATGAAGGTTTGCCAATTGGTGCATTTCAGCAGGTATTAAAGTGAATTAAGAGCCTATGCTGCAGAGGCACAAAAGCCAGTCGGTGCCCCTTTATCTTGGATATATAAATTATATAAATGCTTTTAACGTATTTTGAGTTTCCAATTGGGTCAAACTGTAGAACTTTGTTTTAGAGTTTTTGTTGGTATTGGTGGTGGTTTTCCCCCTCCCCCACTATCCAGGATTTTATTTTGTTGTTGTTTTGCTTTTTTTAATTTTTTTTGTCCAGTGATGGTGGTCACTGGACATATTTGGTGGTGGGGTGGTGGTGGCGGATCCTCTTTATGCTGATGATATTTATAAGTTTCTTCTCCCAGAGAATTTCAGATTAGTCTCATCAAGGTTAGGGGTTTCTCCCACACCAATGGCTGATTTATATGGTGCAAAGGCTCCAGGCTTAAGCTGGGTTTGAATTAATGGTGCCATGGGGGTACCCAGTGCCACAAGGGCAACATAAGTATTTCTCTATAAACTCGAAGATTAGGATCTTTATTGCAACAGAGACGTAGTAAGCAGAGTGGTACAGGGAAAGCAAGCTAGATTTATAACCCAGACTCAATAGACCAAAATTATCTCCTGCTACCACTGCCCCAGATTTTCTGTCTTGTGGATGTTTTCCCTCTTTCTTTCTTTCTCTGCACAAATTCCTTGAGAATATTTTGAGTTTGTATTTAGGTGAAATTTGAGCTTTCAGTTTGTTTCTGTGCAATCACCTGTGGTGCAGAGCTTCTGGGTACATATGGGGAAACATTCAGGAGCTTAGTGGCCTTTCTCAGAAGTGACTGCCCCTTCCTCCAGGGAGTGTGAGTCAGTCTCTCTAGGGTTGAGGTCTATATCCAGTAAAGTCCTTAGTCTATGGCTCAGATAGGGCCAGCAGGTCCACAATTGCAGGATTGGCCACGTGGTTTGCTGGTAGGCAGCAGTGCTGAGCCCAGGCATATTGGCTATGGGTTTTGCATTGGGAGATCATTTGAGTACCAAATGCTCCTTCTTTTCCCCTCCCTTTTCTTTTTTCTTTAGCACCTGTGCCACAGGCTACCATGGATGTGCACTTCAATACCCTTCAGAGTCAGGAGAGCAAAAGCAACAGCGGCTCAGGAAGCAACAGCAGAGACCAGAAAGGTCACTACCTTTGCATGAACAATGACAACCAGGATACCATGCTCCATTCTCCATGGGGTGTCACCTTCCTTCCCGCAAACCTCACACAGGGCTGTCTCTGTGCCTGTTCCATAGGTGTGCCATTACAAGCAATGTCTGTATTGCTGCCCCAAGCAGCCAGTGACATTTGCCAGGCTAGACATGGTGACTAGAGAGCTCTAGCCTGAGCTCTGGTAAGCAGGACTGAAGAACTGACCTGTTAAGGCACTGTTTTCTCATTGCATTTATAGGCTGAAGCCACAGAGATCACCTGCCAAACATAGGCTGAACCTGACAGCATGTCATACCAGGGTATAGTTTACAACAATTTTCATCTTGGGGACAAGAGCGTTGTAGAGTATAAAGAGATGGCACACCACAGTGCCACATAGGCCATAGCTCAAGCCCATCAACAGTTAGCAGTTCTGTCTCAGGCAGACTTGCCATATCTCAGAACCAAATAGCCAAAGAACAGTTAATTTTAGCTGAGTAGGTGTCTTCAGAAATGGCTGGGCATGTCACATGGTTCATAACACCAGTGGATTGTATTCCTTTCTGTTCAACCCATCAGTGAAGGAAAGATGCCTGCCCTGGAGATTCAGAGATGCCAAGGCACCCAACAAACACCCAACATTGGACAGATGAGATCCACAGCAGTTTACTGGTCACACATACTCACCTCCCAAGGAGAGGAGCACTGCAGGCCATGCAGGAGCACGTGGGGGGTTTAACCAGGAATAGTGTGAACAACCAGGGGATGTGGGATTATAATAGTGACGAGGGTGTGGCGCCCCTGGGTTCCCACAAGAGGACATGACGGGCTTGTTTGAATAATTCTGTGGGTTTTCAGGGAACTGAAACCTATTACTCAGGGATAAGCAGGAACTGTGCTGGGTCCCTCTGATTAAGAGGGTTGTTTGACTCGGATATCTCATCCACTGGAGTAAAATGGGGAGAAAAACTTGTGATTAAGCCACTCAAAATCTTCCTAATCTTACCAGATGTTGGAGCAGCATATAATATTGAGCCTTAATTTCAGGCCATATAGCATGTGGAGGAATGAATCCTACAGATGGTCATGAAATGTTTGAAACTTCACCCCAGAGAGAATAAGCTTTAATGTGGAAGTGAATGATTTTACTTTGAATCACAAGATTGTCTTCTACTATGAAGGAAAAAGGGGGACCTGTGAGTTAAAATAAGTTGTTAAAGAATAATGTGGTTACATTATTACATATCTGGGTTTTTTGTTGTTTTTGTTTTTTGTTTTATTGTGGTGGAATAACGTGTATATCTTGCTATTGTTTTAATAATAAATAATTGGAACTAAGCTAGAACTTACTTTTCTGACATTGTAGAAAAATTAATGTCTTTAAAAAACACAAAAACCTAATACACAGCTATTTAAAATGTAGAGTAAAATATTTTGAAAGCTTCTTAAAAATGATTGTCTGTGTTGGCAAATATGTAAGAGATTCTTTATGAGCCCAGAACAATGAGAAATCACAAATCTGGAGAGGCAGGTAAGTGTTATATCCAGAGGCTAATCTGAGTTCACTGGTAATTCACAACTTCCATTTTAAAGTGCCATGTTCTAGAGACAAGAGAAGAAACCTAGTTGAAAAATCAGTTTAGGTAACCAGAATAAGGCTTGGATTTCTAAAAGTGACATGCTCAGTAAAAGAGTAATATGACAAAACCCTAACCTCCAAGAAGACAGTAAGGAGACTTGGCAGTCTTGACTGCGTTGGATGGAAAGGGGGAAAAGGCTCTCTTAATAACTTAAGAACAAAAATGAAACCTCACATTAAGTGTGCAGATTTGCAACTGTGTAGTCTGTTATCTGAACAAAAGCCATGTTGAGAATATAAGGCTAACCAATCTGGTAGTACCACAGACACCCAGCAGAGGCAAATTCAGAGCTTAGGTAGAAGAAAACATTTTAACCCCATTAAACCCAGGTCTCAGGTAATTTTAAGAAAAAAGGTGCTTTGTTTTTTGTTTTTTTGAGGTGGAGTCTCACTCTGTTCCAGGCTGGAGTGCAGTGGTATGATGTCGGCTCACTGCAACCTCCACTTCCTGGGTTCAAGTGATTCTCCTGCTTCAGGCTCCTTAGTGTTCAGGATACAGGTGCACACCACCACACCCAGCTAATATTTATATTTTTAGTAGAGACAAGGTTTGACCATGTTGCCTAGGCTAGTCTGAAACTCCTGACCTCAGGTGATCTGCCTGCCTTGGCCTCCCAAAATGCTGGGATTATAGATATAAACCACTGCACCCAGCCTTAAGGAAAAAGTTTTTTAAAATCTGATCTCAGAACCCCATTCACAAAGCAACCAAGGAAATAAGCCTCCATGAGAAAGATTCCACAAAAACAGTAAACAATAGGATCAGAGTATAAATAATTTAGATATTGGAATTTTTCATAGAGAATTTTTTTCACTATTTGAGAAGAATATATTTCATTTTTAGTACTGTGGCATAATATGTAACTTTTTATACTAATAACTGTATATATGATGTAGCATAGGTCTTAATTGTGTCATTGATCATACAGTTATATGTTAAAATAGTTAAAGTTTTTATGCCGTAACACGAAGCATGATGTCATGCACTTTTTCCTCCATTATTCATTTGGAATATATTCTACATGACCCAAAACATAAGAACTTGACTTATAACTTTTGTTTAAAGCCATAATTGTGCAATAATTTGCTACAGAAAGATTCAATTGACTTCTCTTATGAAACAAGTTTCACTGTAACAGTTCTATAGTTCTGTAAAATATCCTTTAAGTAATATAACATTTTAATACATTGTGTATAACTTACACATGCATATTGTCTATGTACTGAACACGTATTTTATATGATACTGTTATTACTCTTTGTGAAAAATTTTTATAGCCTTACTGTATTTGAGAAGAATAAATAAGGATATTTCTTTTTATTTTTTATTTATTTTAAACTTACAGAATTTTAATGGGAAAATGCTTATGTCATATGTTAAGCAAACACAGCAGGAAACAGTAAAGTATTTTGAAAACTGTTTAAAACCCCACCAAAAAAAAAAAAAGACTGGATGAAGACAGTTGCTCTTGCATGATGAGATTATGGTTTTTATTTCAGTGATTAAAGCATTCCTTTATTAGTTTTACTATGAGGAAAAAATATGTAAGTATAAATGACTAAGTAATAAGATACTATAATACAATGAACTAGACTTTAAAAAAGCAAAGAAGATTGTCTAGAAATAAAAATATAATAATTGGAAATAAAAACAGTGTGTGGATTATGCAGCTGATTAGACACAGCTGAAGAGGGAATAGTTAACTAGAAGATCTGAAGGCATTATGCAGAATGCAGCACAGAGAGATAAAGAGATGAAAAATATGAAGGAAAAATTGAGAGACATCATCAATAGAATGAGAGTGCCTATTTCATATGTTTAATTAGACTTCCCAAGGAAATAATAAAGGATACAGGATAAATATTCAAGAGATAATACCTGACCACTTTCCAGAATTGATGAAAGTCTCAAATTCAGAAATCCTAACAAATCTCAAGAAGGATAAACAACACCAAAGAGATAAACCCTTAAAAAACAAAAAGCTCTACATAAGAATGGCAATTGCATCATAAGTGTATTAGTCAGGTTCTTCAGAGTAACGGAACCTACATATATATATAGATATAGTATATCTTCATATTTCCTTGGGAAGTGTATATATATATATGCACATCTACATGTATAGATAGAGAGAGAGAGAGAAAGAAATTGATTCATGCTGTTATGGAGGCTGAGAAGTTATAAGACTTTGGCAAGCTGGAGACTCAGGAGAGTTGATAGTATGATTCCAGTTTGTGTTAAAGTCTCATAACCAGGAGACCCAGTGTTGTCCATTCCAGTCCAAGTCTGGGTTTAAGGTAGAAGATTAAAGACTGAAGACAGCTTGAAAGCAGTCAGGCAGAGAAAGCAAATTCTCCTTCTATCTTTTTGTTTCATTCAGGACTTCAATGCATGGGATGTGGCCCATTCATATTGAGGAGGGCAATGGGTTTTATGCAGTCCCCTGATTCAGATGTTTCTTATTTGCAAACACCCTCACAGACACATCCTGTGTAATGGGTAACCAAGTATCTGAGCACCTTGTCGCTCAGTCACGTTGACATATACAATTAGCCATCACGATCAGCAAACTTCTTAACAGCAAAAACAGAATAATGTGGAATAATATTGTGAGGTGCTTTCATTCTAAAATAGTATATTTGTAAGAATGAGGATGAAAATCGATTTTTCAGACATCAAAAAACTGTAGTTTCGTAGTTTCATAATTCCCAAAGGAATTTCAAAGGCTGAACTCCAGGGGAAAGGTGAATTATTTCAGAGGAATTGGAAAATGAAAAAAATGTTGTGGAAATATGATGGCATTATGGATATATATTGAAAACTAATTCTTAAATAGTTACTAAGTATTTGGGTATGCAGTGTCATCATAGGGAGCTTGCTTTCAGTTGGTGAAATAAAAACTCTGTGTGTGTGTGTGTGTGTGTGTGTGTGTGTGTGGTAAATTTTATTTTTATAAAGGGTCTCCTTCTGTTTCCTAGGCTGCAGAAAGACACGATAGCCAAAAGCCATCTATTTAATAATCCTTAGAATTTTTGTCACAAATTATTATAAACAAGATCTGTCATTTCCATGAGCAAAAATTTTTTCACTAATATCTAATTTTGTGGTGCCTTTGTGACTCCTCCAAGATCATCATGGTTCAATGACCACATTAATAATCAAAGCCTTTTTCACAAATCAATGGACAATAAATGTATTTGTCTATTTCTAGAGTGCCTATTTTACTTTTTTATTCTACTTGCCGACCCTTGAGGAATACCACACAGAATTAATAAGTAAGACTTTGTGAGTTATGAAGTCTGATAGTGTAAGTCCTTTCCCTTTTCCTTTCTTTTTGAAATAAGAAGCTA